TTTTTGTATTTTTTAGTAGAGACGGGGTTTCACCGTGTCAGCCAGGATGGTCTCGATCTCCTGACCTCGTGATCCGCCCGTCTCGGCCTCCCAAAGTGCTGGGATTACAGGCTTGAGCCATTAACTCTATGTTTTTTAATTAAATGGCAACAGGGATGAAACCTAAAGCAAATTATGATGAGTGGAAACCATTTCTCCCTCAAGAAGATTTCCCCTATGTATGCTGCTTCTAATATAAATATCAACCGAATCGCCCTTATAGTAGAAATCGGCAATGGTAAAGAAAACCATACGTACCCTCTTCAGTGAAGAATTTTTCCACAGGTCCCAAGAACTGATTGATTTCATTAAGTTCATCTTGGCTAACTTCCGGAAATGGGAAAACTTCTTTCTAAAAATAGTAAATATTTTCTAAAAAATTTAATTTTTATTACGCTGCCATCATGGAAATATCAGTTAAAGGGAAGGAAAAACATGTGCTCTACTCCACCCTGGCTAGCGGGACGTGACGTACTGAAGGAACTGGAAAGCAAACCTCACAAGGTTCTCGAGATACAGGAACTATGTGGAGGCTCCACCACCCACATCCATCTCCCTCCCCTGTTCAAATAGGTTCTTCCCGATTTTCATCAGCTTTCCTTCTCAGTAGAAGGGATGATAATGGTCCCATGAAACATGCAGCCCAAGACTAACGTTTAGAAGCCTGGGGGTCTGGTCCTTGATTTCAGGCTTACTAATTATGTGGCCTTCACCAAATCCCTTCAGCTCTCCAAACTACCTCTTTCTTACCCATAACATGCAGGTAATATTTACTCAAGGCCCTTGTGAGAATTGTGGAAGATAGTGGACGTGGAAGCTCCTTACTGAAATGGACAATTCTACATCAATTATTGTGTGAGCTCAAAGATGTTACGCTGAGAAGAGCATGTCGTGCTTACCAAGTCTCATCGATCCCTATAGCCTCTGTCTCTCCTGCTCATGGACATCTGCTCCCTGTACCGAGCCCCTCTGGACTTTTGGACTCTGGTACCCCTTCAGTTGCCAGCATGACACGAACTGTGGATGTGGGCTTCAGGTTGCTGAGCAGTGATGTCCTGAGTCATAGCTATAGGCCCAAGTAACACCTGTCCTCATGGCGCCTCTCACCAAGTGTCTCTAGAGAAGTCTTTGGGAGACCTCAACCTTCTCCTCAGACCTTGTACAGCCAATCAGCCAACAGATTTCTCTACTGTATCAATATGCTCCCACTGCTTTCTCCTCTCTGGGCCCAGGACCACAGGCTTATACGTGAGTCCCTAACTAAAAGTGACAGTCAACTTAAAGGAATCCCTGCCTCTGTCCATTCCAAAACCACCATGAAGGTGGTATCGAAAAAAACAAGCTGGGAGGCCGGTCACGGTGGCTCACACCTGTAATCCCAGCACTTTGGGAGGCCAAGGTGGGCGGATCACGAGGTCAGGAGTTCGAGACTAGCCTCACCAACATGGTGAAACTCCATTTCTACTAAACATACAAAAATTACCTAGGCGTGGTGGCGCACGCCTGAAATCCCAGCTACTCAGGAGGCTGAGGCAGGAGAATCGTTTGAACCCGGGAGGTGGAGGTTGCAGTAAGCTGAGAATGCACCATTGCACTCCAGCCTGGGTGACAGAGCAAGACTCTGTCTCAAAATAAAAAAAAAAAAATTAAAAAACAAGCTTGGCTGGGCACAGTGGCTACTGCCTGTAATCCTAGTCCTTTGGGAAGCTGAGGCAGGGGGATTGCTTAAAGCCCAGGAGTTCAAAACCAGCCTGGGCAAGGCTACACACACCTATAGTCCCAGCTACTCAGGAGGCTGAGGTGGGAGGATCCCCTAAGCCTGGGGAGGTTGAGGCTCCAGTGAGCTGTGATTACACCACTGCACTCCAGCTTGGGTGACAGAGTAAGACTCTGTCTCAAGAAAAAAAAAAAGGAAAAAAATAACAAGTTGATGGCCCCATCACTCTGCAGCCTTTTAGATCAAAGCTCAGTCTCCTTCACTGAACACAGAGGCTCACTGACACTTGGGTCTTGTACATGGGCTGTGTTAGAGATCATTCTGGTACCAGTGGGCAGGCCAGATAAGACAGCCTGGCAACTAGTTGGCCTTTAGGTACAACCACAGAAAACCTGTCACATAGGAGAGACTGCAGGGGCACGGGAGAAAGATTCTGATGTTATCAAATCAGGTCAGTGCCTTAGGGGAGGAGAGTTCAATTGCAATAAACAGTTTGTAAATTATCTTAAAAAGTGGAATCTGTTATTCAAAGAAATCTAGTGCAGAAACCAAATATGTAAAACAGACAGAAGTCAAGCAGTTCTGAGACTGCTGATATGGAAAACAGTCACCTAAATCCCACCCACTCAACTTCCCACCCATCCCTGCAGCAGTTCCAGGGGCACTCCATGAATAGCTTGGGTCCGGCTGAGGGCAGGGTGACAAACACTGGCCTACATAATCTGAAAGATCTTTTCCAGTTCTGAGATTCTAAGCATCATGTCCCATGTTTCTGCTCTAATCCCAGTAAGGCTGTGAGAGATGACATTGGCCTGATCCGAAGTAGTAGCAGAAGGGTCTAAAAGTGGTCAGACTCTGAAGAACCTCAAAGTAGAGAAAACCAGATCTTCTCTGGAATTAGACATGAACTAGGAGAATAAGAGTACAAGGTGACGCCAGGTGTTCTGTCTGAACAGGTGGAACAACAGAGCCACCATTATCTATGATAAAAGAAGGCTGGTGGAAGGACCAGGATTGGGTGGGAACCAGGAACTCAGTTTTGGATCTATTAATCTCAAACGCCTGTTAAACCTCTTAGCAGAGCTTTTGAGTACAAAGGTAGATTTAAAAAAGGACCTTGGCTGGGTGTGGCAGGGCGTGCCTAGTCCCAGCTACTGGGGATGCTGAGGTGGGAGGATCTCTTGAGCCTAGGAGTTCAAGGTTGCAGTGAGCTATGATGGTACCACTGCACTCCAGCCCGGGTGACAGAGGAAGGCCCCAACTCTGAAAAAGCAAAAGGAATCTGGAGCTCAGGGAGAAATCTGAACTGGAGAAAGAAATTTGAGGCATCAGGATATTGATGATATTTAAAGCCAGGACACTAAATAAGGTCACCCAGGAGATGGTTGTAGATGAAAAGAGACATCCACAGACCCAGCCTTAGTAAATTCCAACTTGGCTAGTTGGAAACACTGGTCATTGTTTAGCAGTAAAGGAGCTAAAAAAGAACTAGCAATTGACACAGAGAAGTATTAGTCAGTGAAGTATTTAGAACATTCAGAGAACGATGAGAATAGTGATTCAGAAACTAGAGAAGAAAGTGTGTCAACAGGGTAGAAGAATGAACAGCGTCAGATGCCAATGATGGGCCAAGTAGGATGAGGTCTGAGAACAGATCACACGATTTGACAACAGAGAGGTCACTACTGACTTCCATGGCCATTAGGGACAAACGTCTGAATGGTAAGGGCTCAAAATCCAGTAGAGAGAACAGTTAATGATTCCGAGAAAGGAAAGAATTACCCTTGAGTAGGTAAGAAGGCCTGGGGTCTAATGAGAGGTTGGTTTTGCCAGAAGCAGACAGTTCAGTCATAGTAACAGAATGTAGATAATATGGGCACATGCAGGGGGAGGGGGTAACTATGCCTGTGAAGTTCTCATTTGACTGCATGGATTTTCTCAGTGGAATGGGAAGCAAAGCTGACAGCTGAGAGTAAGGGCAGGGCAGGTGGTGCCAAAGGTTTAAGATGGAAACAGATCTGAAGGATTTGTGTTCTTTCTTCACTATGCTGCTGGAAAGCAGGAGGTCCCAGGATAGAGCACCACACTGCCCCAGGTCCTGGGTAAAAGGGTTTCCCATATGTCAAAGACATAGCTCTGCACCTTCTAGCCGGGCAAACTGCTTTTAGTCTGAGTCTTAGCTTCTGCATCAATAAGGTTGCTTGCTATAAAGGGATCAGCCTGACAACCTCAGAGGAATGTTCCAAAGAGAAGCCAGGGAATAACTTCCGTGATAGAGGATCAGCCAACATTCAGCCAAGCTCAAAGCAGGGCACCTCGAGGAAATAGCAAGTATACTGTTGCTTTCCTTAGAAGATAAAATAAAACACAAAGGAAAAAGCAAGAAATGTGTTTATTCCTATTTTGTAGATGAAGGCACTGAGGCACAGGGAGGTGAAACCATCAGCTCCAAGGTCACAAGACTAGTAAGTGTTGAAGCCAGTTCTCTCTTCTGCTGCACAGTACTCTACAGTTTAAGACGACTCTCCATGCACCATTTATCTCACTGGGGCTCTACAACACCTCTGTGAAGGAGACACAACACTATTTCCATTTTAAGGCTGAAAGAACTGAGTCTCGGCCGGGAGTGGTGGCTCACGCCTGTAATCCTAGTACTTTGGAAAGCCGAGGCGGGCGGATCACCTGAGGTCAGGAGTTCGAGACCAGCCTGGCCAACATGGTGAAACCCCGTCTCTACTAAAAATACAAAAAAAAAAAAAAAAAAAAAAAAAAAAAAAACCGGGCATGGTGGCGGGCGCCTGTAATCCCAACTACTCCAGAGGCTGAGGCAGGAGAATCGCTTGAACCCAGGAGGCGGAAGTTGTAGTGAGCACTCCAGCCTGGGCGACAAGAGCGAGACTCTAGTCTCAAAAAAAAGAACTGAGTTTCAAAGTCAAGGAGCCAAGACCAAACCCAAGTCTTCCAACTCTAAGAGGACAATGAGTGTTTTATAACCAAACTGTTACTACTGGCAGGGTTGTGCGACGCCTGGGAAGCATCTTGGAGCCAGATTTCTGAGGAACCTCAATGGCTGGGAGAGGCGCTACGGCTCAACTGGGGAAGGAAGCCCCAGGGCGCTGGCAGGTGACTGAGGAGGGACACGGTCTAAACTGTTTAGGAATAAGAGAGGAAGCCCCGCACATTTCGAGACCAGACCAGCTGAGATGAAGGCTGCTTTGTAAATTACCTAGCCTAGAGTTTTCCAAATTCTGACAAAATTTACACTTCCAAGGGTCCCCCGTCTAGGAAATGTCCCACCCTTTCTCCGGGAAGGTTTTCCTGGAACTCAGGAATCCAGAGTGTTAACACGCCTCGCCCGCAGGGTGTGTCTCTCTGGCAGGTTTGGGGAATCCGACAAAGCTGAACACCAATCTCGCAGCTGAGCATGAAAAGCGGGAGCCAGACAGCAAGGATTCGCCCAGGGCTCGCGTTACCTTCTTGATTTTGCCCAGGAAAAGCTCTTTGGCGAAAGCTCGTATAGGCGGGCTGGTGCGCAGTAGCCGCCGGTTCGCAGTAGAGACCACCAGACCCCGACAAGCACGAGCCGCAGCCGTGGTACGCAGGAAGAGCCTGCAGCAGCTCATGCCGCCCGCTGTTCCCCGGCCTCAGGCTCCACCTCTTACTTGGCGCAGCAGGGACACACACATGGTCCGCAACGTCGGATGACGTTACTGGCCCGCGACGCTGTGCAGCACTCACTGCGCTTGCGCGGTCTCCAGAAACAGGGGATGGAGACGCCAGAAGGGCGTGACGGCTGCCACCTTCCGCGGCCAAGGCCGTAGTCACGTGCACCTGGCTGGTCCGCGCTGACTGATGACGTCACGTGCCCACGCTTCCCGCCGGTCCGACTGCGCTTGCGCGGCCAGAGTTGCTGGGCAGAAAAAATTGGAGGGTCGGGGCCGCGGGCATGTTGGCGGGTATGAGGTCAGGCCGTCGTGACGGCGGTGAGGGACCTGTTTTTCACATACCAGCAGTTGTTTCCATAAATGCTAGCCATGGGAAATCTCCCTGTGTACAGAAACCTAAAGGCCGGCCCAGCTGCTTCCCCTTGCCTCTTTTGTCACTTGCGGCCGCGAGGCTGTGGTAAAACTTGAGTAAAGCAAAAGAATGGGGGAAATGCGCGGTATTGGGGTCTCTGCAGGGGCACGGTAAGGATAAGGTTCCATTTTTAACTAGATGGTGGATTCCTGAGATACTGTTTTGTACCTAGTTGACATGTTACAAATATTTTTTGGAAGAGGAAAAGAAAATGGGTGTTCAGTCACAGAGCGGTCTGGATAAAACTGAGTCACGGCCGGGCGCGGTGGCTCACGCCTGTAATCCCGACACTTTGGGAGGCCGAGGCGGGCGGATCACAGGGTCAGGAGATCGAGACCACGGTGAAACCCCGTCTCTACTAAAAATACAAAAAAAATTAGCCGGGCACCGTTGTGGGCGCCTGTAGTCCCAGCTACTCAGGAGGCTGAGGCAGGAGAATCGCTTGAACCCGGGAGGTGGAGGTTGCAGTGAGCTGAGATCGCGCCACTGCGCTCCAGCCTTGGGGACAGAGCGAGACTCCGTCTCAAAAAAAAACCAAAAACTGAGTCACCGCTGTCTTGGCAAACACTGAAAAGGCAGGTGGTGGAAGAGAAACTACAGAGGGAGCTGAGAAGAGATGGGAACTATTGGATGGGATGGGACAGGCCAGGCTGTAGCCGCCCAAGGCGTTCACTTGCCCGCTGACTAGACAGCTGATTTATCAAGACAGGGGAATGGCAATAGAGAAAGAGTAATTCACGCAGAGCCAGCTGTGCTGGAGAGGGAGTTTTAACAGCCAAATCAGTCTCCCCAAAAACACGGATCGGAATTTTTAAGGATAATTTGGCGAGTAGGAACTCGGGAAGTGGAGGGTGCTGATTGGTCGGGTTGGCGATGGAATGATAGGGGGTCGAAGTGAGTTTTTCTTGCTGTCTTCTATTCCTGGGTGGGATTGCAGAACTCGTTGAGCCAGATTACCAGTCTAGGTGGTGTTAGGTTTTGCAACAGTGATGTTATTCCCAGGAACAATTTGGGGGACGTTCAGACTCTTGCAACCAAAGGCTGCTTGGCCTCTAAACTGTAATTTCTAATCTTATAGCTAATTTGTTACTCCTCCAAAGGCCGACTGGTCCCAGGCAAGAAGAAGTTTTTTTGTTTGTTTGTTTGTTTTCTGGGAAAGGGCTATTTTGTTTTGAAGTTAAACTATAAACTTATTCCTTCCCAAGGTTAGTTCAGCCTACGCCCAGGAATGAACAAGGACAGCTTGGAGGTTAGAAGCAAGATGGAGTTGGTTAGGTCAGATCTCTTTCACTGTCTCAAGTTATAATTTTGCAGTGGCGGTTTCAAGGCCAGGCCATAGGAGCCCATGTAGGAGGCAGGGCATGCCGGGCACCTCACAGCCCAGCGGTGCACATGGGCCCTATACAGATCTTCAGCCTGCTCCTCTAGGAAGAATGCCGCTCTGCTTTTTCACCCAGACCGGTCATCTGGCTCAAGCAGTTTTGCAATCCCACCTAGGAACAGAAGACAGGAAGAAAAACTCACTTCGACCCCCTGTCATTCCATCTCCAACCCGATCAGTCAGCACTCCCCACTTCCCAAGCTCCTACTCGCCAAATTATCCTTAAAAACTCCGATCCCTGTTTTTGGGGAGACTTGCTTGTTCCCTGACTGTAGCATCGACCACAGTGTTGGGAAATGCCTCCAGCTTCCATTGTGTGAACTCCTTGAGAACAAAATTAAATCCCTTTATCCCTTTCATCTCAGCGAGCTAAGCTCAGCACCAAAAAAGATTAAATTGCTAACACAACATCAAGAAAAAAGAGCTCAAAACTCTACAAGGCGTAGAGTCTAAACTGCAAAATATGTGCAGGCATCTTTTCAGATTATTTTACTTTGTCTAAGGTCTCTCAGCTGGTTTATTCATCGGTGGTTGATATTTACTTGCTTGGCATTCAGCTTCACAAGAAGGTATTTGGAAACAACTGCCTTTGTAAATTATCCCCATAGGTAAAACAAAGAAAAATATACATATATTGCAAAAAGTTTCAATTTTGAGCTGCTGTATGTTTTTGCCAAACAAATGTAGTCAAATCAGTCAAGTAGTCTGTTAATGTGTCAAATCTTCTTTAGTGTACACAGGTCTCCCTAAATCAACCAAATGAGAAATCCAGTGGCACATATTTTACAAAATAAAAATAGAAAAATGTTAAGGCATAATTTTTAATTGCTCCAGTAGAGTATAGCAGAAGAGTTTTCCTGTTTTACTACTGTGCCAGTTTCTAAATTCAGTTTCCTCATCTGTAAATATGAGTATGATACCCTTTATCTGACAGGACTTTTAAGAAGTTTAAGTAAAATAATCCACATGAAAGCACTTAGCACAGCAAATGATAAAAATGAAAATAGTTACACTTTGATCCTTCCATCCTATATTTAAGTATTAACCTCTGAGAAATATGATGTGGTTTTAAACAGTTTCCCCTGTTCAGTATACTAAAAGAAAAGCTTCAGCTGAATTAAATTTAAAGGAGCTTAATTGGCTGGGTCGGGTGCACTGGCTCATACCTGTAATCCCAGCACTTTGGGAGGATGAGGTGGGCAGATCATTTGAGGTCAGGAATTCGAGACCAGCCTGGCCAACATTGTGAAACTCTGTCTTTACCAAAAATACAAAAATTGCCGGGCATGGTGGTGAGTGCCTCTAATCCCAGCCACTCGGGAGGCTGAGGCATGAGAATCACTTGAACCCGGGAGGTGGAGGTTGCAGTGAGACGAGATTGCACCACTGCCCTCCATCCTGGGTGACAGAGCAAGACTCTGTCTCAAAAAAAAAAAAGAAAAGTTTAATTGAGCAATCAATGATTCAAGTCAGGCAGCTTTCTGAGCCAGAGCAAGCTCAGAGACTCCAGCGCAGCCATGTAATGGAAGATTTCTGGACAGCAAAGGAAAGTGAGGTACAGAAAATGGAAGCGAGGTACAGAAACATCTGGATTGGGTACAGCTCTGCCATGCCTTATTTGAACATGGTTCGAACAGTTGGCTACATTTGATTGGCAAAAACTCTGTGATTGGCACAAGTGTAGGCTAGTCTGTATGCCTCCACTTGTCATAGTTCACAATGTGCAGAAAACCTATAAACTCAACTTAAAATATATAAGGAAGCAGCTTTAGGCTAAACTTGATTTAACAAGTGTTTAAAATATCCTCACAGTAGTTCTGAATGTCTCCTCACATCAGTACAACTGATTCACAACATAGGAGAAAGTGAACATTCTTTAGCCATAATATTAGCGTTAGCATAGCAGAATGCTTGACTCTGGGTATGAGGAACATTGAGTAGAAACTATTGCTTGATCCCTTACTATTAAAGCTGAGGCTGAGATTGGACTGATTATTTTATAAGCCAAAGACCACCAAAGATTGCCAGCAAACCACCAAGAGGTAGGAGAAAGGCTGTCCTGCAGATGCTGCTGCAAAGACCTGCCCCTTCCGCCTTGCACCTCCATCCTCCAGGGCCTAGAGGCCTCTGCCTGCAGCTAGGGGAAGAAGAGACTGCGAAGAACGATCCTGTCTTTTAAAAACTGACAGAAATCACGGATTCCTTCCACTCACATTCCCTTGGGAAGAACTTAATTTGGGGGCAGGGGCTAGGAAAGGGAACGCCTGGGCAGAAACATGGTTTTGACAAGTGTTCTTGTCAGGACAATTTGGGAAAGCCCAGATGAGTGATTACTGAGTGACCCTCAACTCCAGTGTTTTGACACCGAAATATGCAAGGCTTCCTCTCTGATTCTTAAACAGCTCAGGCCATGCCGCTCCCATGTCACACTCTAGTGGCCTGTGGGCTTCCTTGCCAGCTGAGCCCTAGCGCTACCCCCTGCCTTTGAGATTCCACAGAAATCTAGCTGCAGGGTGACTTCCACAGGTTGCACAACCCAGCCAATAGTAACAGCTAGGTTATTAAACACACCATCCTCTTACAGGTGAAAGGCTTGGCCTTAGGTTCAATTCTTTCAGCTTTAAAATGGAGCAAGTGATGTGTCTCACTCGAAGATGTTGTAGAGCCCAGTGAGTTATGTAGTGCGTGGAGATTGGGAGGTACTGTGCAGCAGAGGAGATGGACAGTGCAGGCTCAAGAAGATCTTGTGACCTTGAGCGAGTCACTTTTCCTCCTTGTTCCTCAGTGTGCTCATCTACAAAATAAGAGTAAACACAGTAGCATTTCCCCCTTCCTAGGGGTGCCTTGTTTTCAGCTTGGCTGAATGTTGGCTGATCCTCTATCACGGAAGTTATTCCCTGGCTTCTCTTTGGAACATTCCTCTGAAGTTGCCAGGCTGATACCTTTATAGCAAGCAACTTTACAGATGCAGAAGCTAAGACTCAGACTAAAAGCAGCTTGCCCTGCTAGGAAATGCAGAGCTATGTCTTTAACATATGGGAAACCCTTTTACCCAGGACCTGGGGCAGTGTGGTGCTCTATCCTGGGACCTCCTGCCTCCCAGCAGCATGGTGAAGAAGGAACACAAATCCTTCAGATCGGTTTCCATCTTTAAACCTCTGGCATCACCTGTCTTGCCCTGCCCTTACTCTCAGCTGTCAGCTTTACTTTCCATTCCACTGGGAAAATCCATGCAGTCAGATGGGAACTTCACAGGCACAGTTACCCACTCCCCCTGCATATATGCCCATGGTACCTACATTGTCTTACTGTGAACTATCTGCTTCTGGTAAAATCAACCTCTCATTAGACCCCAGTTCTTCTCACTTACTCAAGGGTAATTTCCTTTATCTGCATCGTTAACTGTCCTCTCTACTGGATCTTGAGCCATTACCATTCAGGTGTTTGTCTCTAATGGCCATGGAAGTCAGTAGTGACCTCTCTGTTGTCAAATCGTATGATCTGTCCTCAGACCTCATCCTTCTTGGCCCATCATTGGCATCTGACACTGTTCATTCTTCTACCCTATTGACACACTTTGTTCTCTGGTTTCTGAATCACTATTCTCACTATTCTCTGAATGTTCTAAATACTTCACTGGCAGATACTTCTCTGTGTCCATTGCTGGTTCCTTCTTGGCTCCTCAACTGCTAAACATTGGCCATTGTTTTTCACTAGCACGGTTGGAGTTGTCTGTGGCTCAGGCTGTGGACATTTCTTTTCCTCTGCAACCACCCCCTGGATGACCTAATTTAGTGTCCTGACTTTAACTACCATCAATATCCTGATGACTCACATTTCTCCTGCAGGACAGATTTTCCCCTCAATTCTAGCTTATTTTTGTATCTGCCTTTGTACTCAAAAGCTCCACATAGAGATCTAATAGGCGTCTAAAAGTGGCATATGCAAATCTGAGTTCCCGATCCCACCCAATCCTGTTTTCCCACCATTGTTCTTTATCATAGTTAATGGTGACTCTTATTCCACTTGTTCAGACCAAACATATGTGGTCACTTGTGTCCCCTCTTATTCTCCTAGTCCACATCCAATAGAGCAGCAAATCCAGTGCTGTCTACCTTCAGGTTGTATTGAGAATGACCACTTTTAGGCCCCTCCTGTGATAGTACATAGGGTCAAGCCAGCATCATCTCTCAGCATTACTGGGACTTGGGTTAATTAGCTAGGTAAGATGAAACATGAAGGATTACAAATAAAGGCAGAATACAGACTTAAAAACAGGAATCCAGGCCGGGCGCGGTGGCTCAAGCCTGTAATCCCAGCACCTTGGGAGGCCGAGACGGGCGAATCACAAGGTCAGGAGATCGAGACATCCTGGCTAACACGGTGAAACCCCGTCTCTACTAAAAAATACAAAAAACTAGCCGGGCGAAGTGGCGGGCGCCTGTGGTCCCAGCTACTCGGGAGGCTGAGGCAGGAGAATGGCGTGAACCTGGGAGGCGGAGCTTGCAGTGAGCTGAGATCCGGCCACCGCACTCCAGCCTGGGCGACAGAGCCAGACTCAGTCTCAAAAAAAAAAAAAAAAAAAAAAAAACCAGGAATCCAGATTAAACACTCAAACATGGAGTCCATCGTGGCCCCAGGGCCTTTGTGCTTGACGTTCTCTCCATCTGGAACACCCTGCCCATTGCAGTAATTGTTTTCTAAATGCCTTCAGGCATTTTCAGAAACATCCTGACTTTGTCTTCCTTCATGGTACATGTCACCACCTGCCTGTGTATTGTTTCCTTATTTTTTTCTCTTTCTTTCCCACTAGGCTGTCAGCCCATCAGAATAGAGATTTCTGCCTGCTTCTCCCCTTGGTGTGCTTTGGTTTCTGGAACAGGCTCAGCATGCAGTGGAGCCTCAGTGAATGTGCACTGAAGGAGTAGATACTGGGGAGCACAAACACGTATCAGGTGGTGAGAAGAATTGCTCCTTTACTATTTATTGACCCCTATTATGTGCTCAGCCATGATGTAGGCTGTAGACAAAAGCAGGAATTTAGAAGAAAACAAAACCAGCTGCTCCTTGTTGCTGATACTGTGCAGGAGAGAAAAACTGAGTATTACTCAGTGTGGTGGCAGAGGGAAGTGCTGTGGAGAGGGAAGTGCTGCAGAGAGCGAAGCAGGGCTCAGGGAAACCAGGAGAGCAGAGATGGGGCTGGAGTGGCCTGAGAGAAGGGCAGTGGTGGGAGAGGAGACCTAGGATGTCAGGGGGCCCAGGTCCTGCAGGCCTTGGGGCTGCTCTGAGGACTTTTACTCTGGGTGAGGTGGGAGGCCCAGAAGGATACTGAGCCGAGGGGGACAGGCCCTGAATGTCATGAAGGGAATGAAGTGGGAGCAGCTAGGGACATGTGCACAGGGGAGGCTCTCACTGTAGATGGCACAGGCAGAAAAAGCTTCTCTGAGGAGGTGACACTGTACTGAGCCCTGGCCTTGGCCATGTTTCTAGCTTGTATGAACTTGGAGCTTTAACACCTGCCCTCTGTGTGTACACAGGACTTCGTGTTCTGAACAACCTCATGATATGCCAGGTCACCTTGCCTTGGCCCCTTGCCTCCATGTCACCTTCTCCCCCAGAGCAATCTTCCTCCCAAGGGTGCACTTTTCTTTTTTCTTTTTCTTTTTCAAGAGAGAGACAGGGTCTCCCCTCATTCAGCTGGAGTGCAGTGGCGTGATCAGAGCTTACTGCAGCCTCGAAACCTGGGCTTAAGTGATCTTCCTGCCTCAGCCTCCCAAGTAGCTGGGACTACAGGTGTGTGCTACCCTGCCTGGCTAATTTTTTCATTTTCAAGTTTTTGTTGAGGTGGGGTCTCACTATGTTGCCCAGGCTGGTCTTGAGCTCCTGGCCTCCCAAAGTGATGGGATCATAGTTGTGTGCCACTGTACCCAACCTACTTTTCAAATACAAACCAACCAATCCAGTGCACCTCAGACCCTTCCCCTGTGGGCTGTCATACTGGGACCATTATCCGACTGCCCTAATCACCTCAGTGACAGGAACCAGACCCCTATGGAGTGGAATGATTGGAACTGCCCTCTCCTAAGCCTGCTCGTTGCCCCTCACTCTTTTCTCCCTGTAGGCAGCACAGGAAAGGGGCTTGCTCAGAGTACCCCTCCCTCTGCCTCCTGACCAACCCTGCTGCTTCCCGTGTGGCCCTGCCTAACTGTGCTCTGCCTTCCTTCTGGGAACTGTGACTATCTTCAGTTTTACTCATCTGATCTGGAGGCCTTATTATACCTCAAACTTTTTATTAATACACAAGAATTAGAGTGGCCTGGAATGACAAGACACTTTGGACACAAGATAAACAAATGAGAACATACGAACTATGCACCATTTTCCAATATTCTGAAGAAGTGTAATAGTTTAATACATGAGTTTTTTTCAGGTGATGGGAAACATTGTGGCTGTTGGTGGGATCTGCTGAAGGCAGGGACTTTACTGTGATGACGGAGCTCTCTGCCTCAGGTTTCCTGCAGCCCAGGATTTTTGTATGAGGCCATGGTGTTGTGAATTTTTTGTTCCAAAGATTCCTGGATGTGATCTGTGTGAATTCCATGTACATCATGAGCTCTTTCCTTCTGTGATCCTGGTGGTCATTTATTATTTTTTAACCTTCCCAAAAAGATGCAGTGTGAACCTGGTGATCAAAGAGCAGCTTCTGGTAGGGCCTTGGGGTCTCCCGCTGGCCCATGTTGATTTACAGATGCCATATAATGTAGTGTAGGGTGGTCTTTCCCTGGGTTTGCAGGCAGCGGTGTGTTGATGAGTCTTTCTTTATTTTTTTTATTTTTTTTGAAGTCTTGCTCTGTCTCCCAGGCTGGAGTGCAGTGGTGTGATCTCGGCTCACTGCAAGCTCCGCCTTCCGGTTCACGCCATTCTCCTGCCTCAGCCTCCCGAGTAGCTGGGACTACAGGTGCCTGCTACCACGCCCAGCTATTTTTGTTTTTGTATTTTTAGTAGAGACGGGGTTTCACCATGTTAGCTAGGATGATCTCGGCTCGTCTCGATCTCCTGACCTCATGATCCGCCCGCCTCGGCCTCCCAAAGTGCTGGGATTACAGGCGTGAGACACTGAACCAGGCCCCTACTCCTTCTGAAGAAAGGAACAACTGTATCTTATGTTTGCCACACAGTATTTGTTTCCTCAGCTTCACAAAGGTCTGACAAATGGTAAGGTTTTGGTTATGGTGGTGTAAAAAATGACTCCAGATTCCACCTCTACCCATTCACCATAGGGCAGTACAACGGGAAGTTACACAAAAGGTGTCCAGCTTGTAGCCTATCATAAATCTGGTGCCAAAGACAAAAGATATTTTATGTTGTAGTTGGCATCTTGTAAATACAAGTACATTCTGGGGCATGAGGTTCCTGTAGAAATGTTTATTTTGGCGGTGGTACTGTAGGGCAGATAGTATTTGCCGGAACTTGCCTCAGGCCTCTTCCTCCTGCTTTTGGTGGGGCTCTAGGATGTAGTGAAGTAGCTACATGACTCGGTGTAGAGTGCCCATGATGGCAGTCACTGGAAGGAGCTGGTTGAGACTGGGTGATTCGGGGTCCTCATTATATCAACTTCGTAGCTATCAACTCCAGAGGCTGGAGGAGCTCTGCTGACCTCTCTAGGTGACCTTCACAGCCACCTGGATCCCAGTGAGAATGTTCTGGGGTAACTGTACCTTGGCTGCACCTGGGTGCTCAATAATGTCACCTGGACTCTCTCCCAACCTCTGACTGTGTGTCCTTCCCTCAGTGTGGATGTCGTGCTCAGGTGGGCTTTCCCTTCAAGGTGACAGGATGGCACCCACAGCCCCAGCCACCCAACAGAAATAGACCTTCTCTCCCCTGCTACCAACCCTTGCCTTGACCCTCGCCACCTGATTGGTCACGTGCCCAGACGTTAGCTAATCACTGTGGCTGGGTAGGTTGGGCTCTTCTGATTGGCCAGGTTGAAGTCATGTGCCCACTGTCACCAGGGGTAGTTAGAGCTGCTCCCCTGTTTGGGTGGGAGATGGTATACCCACTGGCTTCTGTGTAACAGAATCCATGGTGGCATTTTTCCCTCTCCCATCACCTCCTCCCCAGGCTCCATTTCACCCATGCCAGAAAGGAACAAGGTCTGCCTGAAGATAGGATTTGGGATTCCCCTCAGCTTCAAGATTTGCTCCTTGTCCTGGTACCATCAGCTACTCACTCAACGAACATGCACTGAGCAGTCTCAATATGCCAGGCTGTCACTAGGTGTGATACAAGGATGATACAGGGATGAGCAGGGCTAATGGGATTCCTGTCCTCCAGGAGCTGACACTCTAGCGGGAGTGCACAGACAAATCAAAGACCAATTCAGATCAGATGAGTCCAGATGAATAAAGAGATAGGATGGGATGGAGGGTGTCATGGAGGTGTCCCCAGCAAATCCCAATTCACTCACCATGCACTCAGCCTCATGCAGTATAGATCATAGGAAAGGGAGTACACATCATAGAAAGTCACCTTCATGTTCAGGCAGCTGATGAAGTCCTGTGGGCTCAGCTTGTTCAGGTCAAAGATTATGCGGGCCACATCCATCTTCTTGGCAAGCTTATGGGAGAGAGACAGTGGGTGCCTCATTCTCTGCATCGAGACAAGCAGATGGTTAGCACCCCTTGAAGACTTCTCCCAGGGTCCCAGTTTTCTCCCCGGACAGGTGGGACCTCACCTGTTCTGATGGGGGCTTCCATTTCTGCCCCTTCTGGAGGACCAGGAACACTGTATTGCCTGCCAGAGCTTGGAAGGAAGGACTCTTCTGTCTCTACAGTTGTGCCATCTTCCTCCAGCACCAGGAAGAAGGGCTTGTCTGCCAGTATCAGAGTGTCCTGGACCTGGGGAATAAGGTGGGTGATGCTTCCGCCATCTCTAAAAAGTCACAGAGCCAGTCTGGGAAAGCCCCACGTCATAGCTCCTCAGATGCCAGGGAAAGAACAAGTGGGCTGGGGTCTATGGGGTAGAACTGGAGCCCAGGCCCTCTGCTGTGGAATCACTATGTAGAGACTTTATCATGGTACCTCTTGGCGCCTGGCTTCAGGGTTCATAGTCTAGAATAATGTTGTCCAATAAAATATAATGTAAGCCACATATGTAATTTTTAATTGAGATACCATTTACATATTATAAAAGTCACCCTCTTAAACTGTACAATTCAGATCCAAGTACTAGGCAAAATGGTGAGACTCCATTTCTAAAAAAAAAATACATAAATTAGCCAGGTGTGGTGGTGTGTACCTGTAGTCCCAGCTACTCAGGACACTGAGGTGGGAGGAACACCTGAGCTCAGGAGATCAAGGATGTGGTGAGCTGTGATCATGCCACTGCACTGCAGCCTAAGTGACAGAGTGAGACCCCGTCTCCGAAAAAGCATGTAATTCAGGGTTTTTTGTATATTAACAAAGTTGTGGAACCATCACCACTATCTAATTTCAGAACATTTACATCACCCCAAAAAGAAACCCAGTTCCAGCCGGGCGTGGTGGCTCACACCTGTAATCCCAGCACTTTGGGAGGTCGAGGCGGGCGGATCACCTGAGGTTTTGAGTTCAAGACCAGCCTAACCAACATGGTGAAACCCCATCTGTACTAAAAATACAAAATTAGCTGGGTGTGGTGGC